CCCCCTCCCCTCCCCCAGCGGCAGGGCTACCGGGAAATGGCGCCGCGGGGGGGACCCGGATGTCGGCGGGACGCAATTCCCGCCCTTTCGCCCCGGCCCGGGCGGGGCGTTATCACATGACGGGGGCGGGGCCGCGCGGGGCCGCCGCCGCGATGGGCACCGCGCTGGACATCAAGATCAAGCGCGCCAACAAGGTCTACCGGTGCGGGGTGAGTGCGGCCGCCAACGGCCGCAACCGCCGCAACCGCCGCCGCGGGGGGGCGGTGGCTCCCGGTCCCGGGCTGGGCGGCAGGGGGGCTGCTGCTGTGGCGCGTCTGAACCTCTTGCAGCTCGGCTGTTGCAGGGTGTAAAGCGCGTTTCGGTTCCTTAAACGCCTCTGAGGGTGTAAAACTGCTTTAAGCGAATCTGAGCGGGACTTACTGAGCATCTGCTCATCTGCAAGTGGTTCTCAAGCTAAATTATCATTTTTTGAATAGCCTATCCCCTTAGGTGTGACGTCAAAGTGGTAAAGGTCGTTTTCCGTGTTTCCCTGGCATTGCTTTATTAAGACATGTTTTTAAAGGACTTGGTTATTTCAGTCACACACCATGCTCTGTCTTCGTTTATGTCTATGTCTGTCTTCATTTTTTTTCCACTTGCTTTAAATCTCTGTGAACTAGATCTGTTTTTATACAAGGAAGGGATATGTCTTCTGTCTTCAAGTCAAAATTAAATGGGCTTTTATAGTAACTGTATCTGTCAGTATTGTTTGTTTGTTTCTATTTTAACTCCAAGGGAAAAAGGCTTCCATTTTTAGTTCATTGGCTGAAATTCGGAGGTATGAGTGATGTGAAGACACAATGATGAAAGAAGTGCAACATGAATTATTGATAGAAATTCCCTAGGCACAGACACGGAGTTACCAATTTCTTTTTAATTAAGCATGGAAAGTATTCAGCTTTTCTTTCTGTAGAAATTGTGTGATTGCTGTACACTTCAGTACTGAAGCTATTATTAGGACAGCTCACATCACTTTCATTAGTAGTGCTTGAAAATGAAGAGATTCCTTAAAAAAAATCATAGTTCACCCCAATGCGTCTGTCTGCCTATTCATCTGAAGGCAGTAAGTCTGCTTATCATGAGCTATTTTTGCTTTTCTAGTTTATCTAAAGTTGCATTTGGAGATGAAGGAAGGTGATGTCTAAATTTATGCCTTGATATAGTAGTGTCTCCATTATGCCTATAACAGCTTAGTATAATAGCACAAAAAAAAATGCTAAGACATGATGAGCTTTCTCTGTCATAACTTAAACATTGAATGCCTTGATTAATGTCGCTGAAACCCTGATTAATCCAGCATAGCACCATAATGCCCCTCTGTTTCCTCATCATTCAGCTGGCTCTTTTTGCTGACACTGGTGGCTATGCAGTAAGGCAGGTCAGGGAGATGGACAGTATTTGGCTGCATGGACTGGTTTGGCGTGAAACAAGATTAAACATCTATAATGTTTCATAACCTATGCAAAAGTTTAATCAGTAGTTTAAGGATATTTCTGTTTGATCACATTCTGTAAAAAATATAAAGAATTTGAAGTGAGTTGGTACAACTTAAGTAGGCAGATTCTTTTTTATGTTACCAACTGGAAACCAATGTTCCTAATTTTGAGCTTGATGCTTGATCACACACTTCACTGCATCCCTCTAAATTTGACTTGTAAGATAAGAAGTGTTTTTGCTTGATTTTTTTTTTCCAAAAAATATTCTGTGCAAAAAAGTTTGGTTATTGTCCTGAATTAGTTCTGCCGCACTTATTTTTATTTTAGAGCAGTAATAGTTTTCTGCAGAAGATAATTTCTGGCAAAGATTGCATGATAATTGTAAAAGTTTTAACCACTGTCATACATTTTTTGTGGTTGGCAAGCATTTAGTAAAAATATATATAAGTTGCAAGAGCAGAAACAAGATATAGTCAATTAAGCTTCTTCATAAAAAGGCGGAAGGGAGTGAAATGAGTTACACAGGTATCTTTAGAGAGTGCATTTTATGATTAGCTGCTGTTTGTGCCTACAAAAACGGTTGTTTTCAGTTAACCACCTGTTATGTTAAATCCAGCTAAACTCAAGTGTGTTTGTTGTTTGAAACATTCCTTTTGCTAAGCTGAAGTTTCTCCACTTCCTGTTTTTTTTTTTTTTTTTAAACTACTCTGTATTGAGTAACTAACAACTTTACTCTTAGTAGTTTCTATTTGCTTCTGTATTTTTAATGGAAAAAGTTGGGCATACATTTTATAAAATAGTTAGGCATTACCCAAGTCTGTGGTTATTACATCATGCTTTTTAAAGAAAGATTAAAATAACACTAGTAATCAATAGAGAATTTCTGTATTGATTATTTGTAATGTTTACAAAATTAAGAAACTAAAGGCCAACTTGGCAAACAGAAGAACTTTATTTCGTCCAGGCCTAATTTGAAAAAGCATGGTTTAAACAAATTACTTCAAGTTGTGAAGTAATTCAAGTGATGTCATGTAATGTTTGCAAATACGAGACAAAGCTTTGTCATAGGTTGCATGCTGGATGTGATGTTCATAAGTATTTGAACATCTTAGTGAGCTTATTTTAGTTCTTTGATTTGTACTTCTTGGAAGTACAGATATGCTGACAACTTTGTATTTAGAGAGGACTCAATTTTCATGTAGGAAGGGACAAGGGAGCTCCTCCTCTTCAGGAGAGATAGCAGGCTTCCCTGCACACACTAACTTGAACTATAACCTGATCTCGCAGTATGTAATATAAACAGCTTAAGTATAAAATATTTTTGACTTCTCTCTATTCAAAGATAATGATTTTTAAAGAGCTTGTGTTAGGAAGAGTTTCCAAGTTGCCATTTAGTTCTTAAGAAACGTTAAATGTTAGTAGAAACAAAGGATAGTTAATTTCAAGTTGTTCTTCTCCCATGTGGCCCAAATACATGGATCTTTTCTGTGTGACCCTCTGTAGGTAATAGCTTGGGAATGGGTTGTTGCTCAGTGCTGAGAGATTGGCCTTCCTAAATAAAGGAGTTCATATGTTCAGGATTGTCCTTGCTGCTTATAGTTCAGCTGTGCCCATTTTTTGATGCAGTAACCTAATTGCTTTTACTAATTAAAGCCAGTTAACAAAGCAATACAGAATTTAGGTCAGCTCTTCTTCACCGTCCTTTCGTGTTGGTGCCTGCTGTTCTTGGGGTTGCTGCAGGTCCTCTTCTCGAATTCACGATGTGTCCCCTTCTCCGATGCTGCCTGTTCTGCCGCTGCCTTGCAGGGCTTCCTTCAGCCAGGCCCACTTTCTATCATCCTGCTGTGCCTCTTGCGCAGGCAATAGGCTGGCAAAGCTCAAATAGCCTTGGCCAGAGATGCACACAACTAGACTGGGCTTTTCTGACAAGGTTAGAGTGTTTTCTGGGAACAGTTTCCTCAAGTTCTCTGAAAATCAGCACGCTACGTATGCCACTGCAGCTTGAGTAACAGCAGTAGAAGAAATAGATTTAAATGTATGTTTTCTTGTGTGTGCTTTTTTTTTTTTTTTCCTCTCCTATTAGGAAATTCTTTCTGGAGTTGTGGTCATAACAAGTAAAGACACAGTCCAGCACCAAGGTATCTCATTAACGATGGAAGGATCAGTGAATCTGCAGCTTAGCGCCAAAAGTGTGGGTGTGTTTGAAGCCTTCTATAATTCTGTCAAGGTAAGAACCTGTGCAGATTACTGTCTTTAGCAGTTTTTTTTTGTCTGGGTTCTTAAATCTTTCCGTACTAGTTTTCAGGTAGTTAGAACACCTGATAGGAAGCAGAGGAAACTCAGCATTATCTATGGCTACACTGTGAGATTTAGAGGGACGAGCACACGCTAGATGCAGAGTTTTCTTCAGGGCTGAAATGTAATAGCATAAATAGTGTTACTGGAGGATATACTTAAGGAGCAGGATATTTTCTTTAAAAAGAAAAGTGTGTGTGGAGGGGAGAGAGGCATGAATTTAAAGCAATCAAATTTAGTGGAACTTCTCTCATCCCTCTAGTTTCTGCAGAGCCCTTGAAAGTGTTGCTGGGAATAGTACAGGACCTGAACTGGTTCTCCTTGCGGTGTGACAGTTGGCATGCAGAGTCCTCGAAGGCCTCTGTGCTACTTCTCTGGGTTTGGAAGTGTGGTCTAGCCTCTTGGCCTGTCTCTGCGCTTGGATTTGGGAATCTGCAGCGCCAGTGATGCCGGGCTCCGCGTGTTCCTGGCTGCGCTGGTGAAAGGCAAGGCCGGCTACGTTTAGAGGCAGGAGAGCTGGCTTTGCAAAGGAGCTGGCCTCAGGTGGCCCAACCTCCGTGCAGAGCTCTGTGAAGCAGTCTTCATTTGTATCCTTGTTACTTTGTTCGCAGTCTGAATAATCAGCCTGTGAGTGACTGAAAAACAGTAGAAGCAAAACTGTGGGTGTTTTATTTATTCTAGTCTAGCAGAGGGAAAAGACTTGGGGATCAGGCAAACTGGACCCTTAAGGTGAAGCTGCACTGAGCATACTCTTTGTAACAACATCACATCCTTTTCTTCTGAGTATGAGGTCTAGATTTGTTGATTTAGCTTTCTGTTAAGAAAGAAATGGAAATTCTTATGAGCAAAGGAAAACTTGCTTTATAATGGGCTAAAATCATTTAACCCACTGCCCTCAATCAGCATTGCTTCTACAGCTTTGACTTTGCTTATTCTGGTTGATCCATTTGACAGCAGGGATTGCTCTATTCCTTTGTGTTTAGGAGGCAGCTGTCATGAGGATTAACAGACTTCCCCAGTCTAAAGCCAAATCATAGTTACCCCTTGTTACAGGGAGAGACTAGTGGTGAACACAGGTCTTCAGGACAGGAGAGGGAGAGGAAGCAAAAGAGCTACCTGCCCAGGCGACACCGACCTGCTCTCCTGTCAGTCCCTGCTGCTGCTGACAGCCGTAGCTTGGAAAGTGGAGCCCTGCTTCCCAGGGTGCTCACGACTCTGCTCTTTCGCTCTCCAATATGTTTAGCCGTTAATTTGACACAACTGTAAAGCAGATCACAAATACTTCCCCAGAGGAAAAGCATTCTGAATATTTCTTTTCGTTGTAAGGTTGGAGAAGTGTGTTTCAGAGAAATGTTGCATTTTGGGGAATTTGGGAAATCTGTTAGTTTAGTGGATGTTTTTGGTTCTTTTTGAAATCATGGAACTATCGCTCTGCTTCAACTTAATGATCTTAATATTTATCTTTGCAGCCTATTCAAATTATTAACAGCACTATTGAAATGATCAAACCAGGAAAACTGCCCAGTGGCAAAACAGAAATTCCTTTTGAGTTTCCCTTGCAAGTGAAGGGCAACAAAGTTTTATATGAGACATATCATGGCGTCTTTGTTAATATTCAGGTAAGGCAGCCAGATCTGTACATAAAATCTGAACTTTTCTTATATTCTGAATGTATTCTAAAGCATCTCTTACTCTGTGGAAGTAGAGGAAATTACAGTGGATGAAGTTCTCTTTTCATAGTGTGTGACTTAAAATATTTTTTGCTTATGTCAGTTTGAAGAATGACCAGAAAGCTGGAGATTCTTTGAAGAAAGTAGCTTTTAAGCAGCTCTTTAGTAATGTAGTATTCTTCTGCTACGTACTGTATTTTCTAGGTATAACAATATAAAACTGAAATAACATTGATAAACAATGATAAACATTACCTCCAGACTCCTACAACCTTTTGTTTTGTTTTTGTGTAAACATTACCTCCAGATAGCAGTCTATAGGTAGTTAAGTACTCTCCTACAACCTTTTGTTTTGTTTTTGTTTTGTTTGTTTTTTTTTTTTTACAGATACAGTATGAAACTGAAAATTTAACATGCTTAGTATGATAGTTTCATCTAGTTCTGATTTTATGGTGAAAGAAGTTGCATTTCCCATGTTGTCAACACTATGTAGTGCATAGCCAAAAATAAATGTACTGCGATCTAGTTTCAGCATAAAAAATTACTTGGTTCTGCTAATAATATTTCAAAATACTAAAAAATGAAGTGGGCTGGTTTTAGACACAGGCACAAATCTTACTGGAACAAAGCTGCCCATGTTCAGAGTCTGTCTTCATGTGTTCCATTGTCAGAAGGATCTTCCCACTAGAGGAAATCTTTCCATTGCTTTTTGTTTCAGGCCGTCCCTATTGAGCAAGTAACCTAGGAAAGATGGCAAAAACAGAACAGTAACAAGATGTCTTGCCTGAAATACCTCAAGTCCCAACTGTTTTAATATCTAACCACTTCTATGCAGTAGTCGCATTGCATCCGTTATTGAGCTAAATCTGTCCCTCATGAACAGAAACAATACATGGCTGTGTAACTTGGTAATGAGGATTCAAATCAGAGTGATGAGAGCTCATCACGTCTTCAGAAACGTGAATCACTTCCTCCTTGTAGAGATAATGAGTAGAATTTTCTGCCTGAACCTCTGTATACAGCATGGTTGTAACACAGTGTGTGGAAATAGTTTTGAAATTTTACTTTTCTTGGTTAAAGATCAGTTTACCAAAGGATGATTTGTTTGGGGTTTTTTTTGTTTGGCTTTTCTTGTTTGTGTGCTTTGGGCAGAGGGGATGGAGGACAGAGTCTTCCCAACTCTTGTACGTGCCCGTTACGTTAGCTGAGCTGTCTTACTGAGACATGTTCTGCGCGCTCAAGAAGTTGAGAGGCAGCCGCTAAATGAAAAACTTTCAGACCAATACTAGTAAAAAGTCACTGGTTATTAAAAAACAAACAAAAACCTTGTATGAGCTTACCGAGAGAATTGGCTTTGACATTATATAAAAATGTTAGTTGCTTAGCTGAACTGCAAAGTTTTATAGCGAACAGTCTTGGATTAACAGAAAAAAAAACCAATCTACTATCTTATTGGAATTAACCAAAAGAATAAGTGTTAAATTCAGCAGGGCAGTAGACCTGTAGAACTAGGCATTCATTTCTTGTTAAACTGCTCAGACATGACCTTGTTTTCATGGGGTGCAAAGAGGTGGCAGTGGTAGAAAAGTCTCAGATGAAACCCTTTTATTCTGTTCTTAGATATTCAATCTGTCTAGACACAGATTTCCATGTGTTTTTGAAAACAGTGTTTTAGTGAAGTGATGTTTTTGGTTTACCTGCTTACCAGGCATCTTTTTAGTTACTTAGTTTGAAGATGTTACTGAAATTTTGGATTTTATGTACACTTCGAGTATTATTACAGACTTGTACAGTTGGCTTCCAGTCCAACATTATTAGCTGCATCTAGATAGTACTTTGCAGCAGTGGGAAGGCTTTTATGTGCCAGAGGAAGAGCTGTGTTATTTCCCCATCTGGGAACTCTGCATGGTGAACCAATAGGCATTACCACATAATAGAACTCCCAGTCTTGTCTGAATGCATGTCGCCTGTTGTAGTGTTTTCATTGTGACTTTTGTTATTGTTGTTTTCATTGTTGCAGAGAAAATAATGATCCTGTTTTTCGTGCTTTTCAGCATAGTCAAGTAGATCATACTTTCTCAGCCATGGCAAGAAAACCTTGTCTGAAGATCTGGCACTCAGCTTTCAAAAATCTAATTTACTGCTCTCTACCCAGTTTTGCCTTCAGCTCTCTGGCACTCCACATTATTATGTCTGCCAGTCTTCAGCATCCATTAGAATTTCCCAATTTCCAGTGCAGGGTTTTGGTTAGTTCACAAGCAAGGCAAACACATTTCTAAAAGCTGGCCCTCCAAGCCGTTTGTTTATCCTGCGTTCCCACCGTTTGCGCTCTTCCCTTCCCACCGTTTGGCTTTCTGCCTAATGTAGCATTTGTTGTTTGGAGCAGGTATGTCAAAAATGGTGCCAAGCAGGTTGAGTTGCTTTCCATAATCCAGATAACTTATGATAAATACCTGTTGCTTTAAGGTATGCTTTAGCGGTAAATGTTTTTGATTTTTTTTTCTCCTCATTTACTCAGCTTCTTTTTACAGCCTGAGAATAAACTGTAATTAAAAGGTTAATGATTTAGTCTTAGCCAATATATATATATTTTTGTCATATACCCAAAAGATGAAAATATAGTCTCTCTCAAGGCTATTTATTTGATAAGGTTGATAAAACAGATGCATAGATGAATTGGTGGAATTCATCGGACTTTTTTTTAATTTTGTTTTGTTTTTGAAGTTAGGCTAGAATTGCTTAAAAACTTTCTCAAGTTTTAAATAGATCATTTTCCTTCCAACTTGTTTATATTTATTCAAACCAAGAAATGGAAAAACAGACCAAAACCAGTACAAGAGTGCACCACCTACTTAGCTTGTGATGTTTGCGTAACTAAAGGTGCAGTTTAAGAGCAGCCTTGGAGGCCTAGACGGTGAGGTGGATGGTTCGTGTGCCAACAAACATCACCCCGTTTCTCAGCCACGGGCTTTTCGCTCCCATGTACTGAGCAGTTACCAGTGAAGTTAACTTGTTCCGTGACTTCCTTGCACACTGTTGCTGTTAAGTTCAGCTTCTCTGATTCAAGACAGGTTCCTATGAAAGAGGCTTTTAACTGACACCACCGTTTACTGTAAAGCCAAAGGCAGAAGGGCTGCAAATATATCCTGCCTGCTGATACTTGCGCAGCGTGTGGTGAGCAGTGCCCTGGTTGGTCTTGACTGGATGCACCTTGGGGGCCCCGGCCCCACAAAAGTTCTGCTCTGTCAGTGGATCAGTCCCTCAAAAAAGTCCCTCATAGGCTGTTGTTGTGTGTTACTGTAATACCCAAAGTTAAAAGTATTTGCAAGCAATGATGGGACTGTAAAATACAAACACTTTCATTTGGGAGCATCTAAAATCAGCGTATATCTCATCTCCCCTTACACCCCCTTCTACCCATCACTGGTACCTATGTTGCCTGTTAATCTGTTGTAAATGAAATGTTAGGTATAAATAACCAGTAGACTTATGCACATAAGCAGCAAAAACAAGAAAAATAGACTTAAGGAGATCTTAACAAAGCCTCTTCCTTTCCTCCCCTATCTTGTTCTTACCAGTACACTCTACGGTGTGATATGCGACGTTCTCTGCTGGCAAAAGACCTGACTAAAACTTGTGAATTCATTGTCCACTCGCTGGTAAGAATGATTCATGTTAAATATATGAAGTGATTGTTTTGGTTTTTTTTTTTCCTGTCCTCGTTTGAAGTGAACTTCTGCAGTGGTGTTTGTAGAAACAAGTAGCAGTGCTGTAACTTACAGTAAGAGCACATCTGACTTGCATGAATCAAAGCAGCTACCCTTGAAACAAAAATGTTCAGAAGAACAGAGGTGTCTTCTCCACTAGGGTTTTTCTCTACATAGAATTACACCTCTGTTGTTTTTCTTTCTTCATTTAGAGAGGTCTGATCTGGTACAAACGTGATTTAGATAATAAGATGCTTGTATTCATTTTATTTTCTTACTCATTCTCTTCACTTCTGAGATGGTGGTTAGCTTTAAAAGGTAAATATTACAGTGTTCTCCTAAACTGCTTCAGCTAATCTGAGCATTTCTTAGCCAAAGATGCCAGGCAGCCTCAATGCCAATTGTAGAAAGGGGAGTGCAGCAGTGAAGAAGAAAAACACCCATTTTCTGTTCTTGAGGTGATTGACTCTGATTTAGAGCATTATCTCAGAATATCCAAGTGCATCAAGTTGGAAGTAGGTTTGGCACCTTAAAGCAAGCCCATAGTTGGCTATATACTGAGCGTATATATCCAGGGTAACTAATGTTCAGATCCTGCAGATAGCAACATAGGGACAATTTCCTCCTGTGGCCGTATCATTGTGGGACTGCAATCTGTCTGTCTCACAAGAAATGCTTTGTCATTTGTTATCTGGAGGTTCCTATCCCAGCTTGTTATTTTGAGTTTTTTATTGGCTTAAACACATGCTCAAAGCATCTGATATCAGTACAGACTGTGCAGGCCTAATTAAATACTTTTCTTTTATCCAGAACTTGCTAGAACATACTGTTTGCATCGCTCCTTTGAACTCTGTAGCAGGACCCTAAAGCATTAGGTTATTTTTATCTTGCACCACGTGAAAATTTCTAATGGTGAAAATGCACCATGATGAAAATTTTACTTCTATGATACCTCTTTCAAAGTTTTGTCTAGGTGCTATGTAGAGGTCTCCTGCTGATAAGATTTCATTATTTTCTAAAATATATCTGTTTGCATCGCTCCTTTGAACTCTGTAGCAGGACCCTAAAGCATTAGGTTATTTTTATCTTGCACCACGTGAAAATTTCTAATGGTGAAAATGCACCATGATGAAAATTTTACTTCTATGATACCTCTTTCAAAGTTTTGTCTAGGTGCTATGTAGAGGTCTCCTGCTGATAAGATTTCATTATTTTCTAAAATATATTATGCTGCTTATATAGGTCCATTATAATAAGTAAGCCACAGTTGTCAAAATAGAGTGAACAAATTATGTACTATGCAGTTCCTGGTTTTATTTCTTGTTCCCAGTGTAGCTCTTGTTAGATCATGAGTCAGTAAATCATGCCAAATCTCCCAGGCAGGGTGAATTAACGAGGTTTTGCTGAACACGTACTAAGCACTGGCAGTGCTCACTGTACCATTTCCTTTAGCCTTCTTCTTGACCAGAGTTTGTCAGTTACGGGAAAATACAGTCAATCTTTCTGCTAATATCTCCCATCTTGCAGCTGGGCAGATGGAGCTATTTTGAATTCTTAAGTAGTGAAAGTAAATCCTAACTGGAGTATTTTCCAGGCCTAGTTTTGCTTTATATAGTTAAGAAGCTAAGCTGTGACACTAAAATCAGCACTATATTAGATTTCATCAACCGAGGATCTCCTAATAATCTGAAGATGGCTTGAGAAACACAAACCCTTTTTTTGAAAGGGCAGCAGGTAATAGGGACGAGGAGGATGTTCAGAGCGCTCACAGGTAACAAAAGGCAGAGGGAGAGTTTACAGAACATATTCAGAGTTACGGACCAGGCTCCCTCTCCACCCCTTCCCCAAAACCTCGAATACATTTTCAAAATACTAATAGTGAAAGGAAACATTACAAGTGGCAAATGAATTGTAGTTGTTTGTGAATACTGAAATGCAAAATTGCACTTTGTTCCCCAGTCTTCCAGGATATGCTTCAGAAGATAGCAGTGTATTTTCCAGGAGTTTTCAGGGAGTTTGCAGGCGTCAACTTTTTTTTTTTTTTTGACCTGCAGTGTAGGAAGGGTTTACGCCAGTGGTTTACAAAGGAAGATGTAACTGTGGTTTAGTGCAATGGCAAACACATCCAAAACTTGATGCAGTCCATCTGCACATTCAAAATTGTGCCTTGAATTGAGACAGTATCAATAATGAAGGCAGGAAATGTCAGATCCTTTATTACATAGATGCATCCTTTCAGCATTAAGAGCCCTAAAAATCAGCCTACACTGCTTGACTTCATTGGCTTTTTTTTTAGTAGCCAACATGTGTTTTGTAAATGATGTAGTTTGGAGTTTAACTTTTTCGTTGCTCTCTAGTCACAGAAAGGGAAGCTGATGCCAAGCCCAGTTGACTTCAAAATTACCCCCGAAACCTTGCAGAATGTTAAAGAGGTAAGTTTCTAATCTATATATAATGTTCAAGTAATTCCAAATGAGAGAAAGAAAATAATCATTAAATGCACCCCTGTGGGTAATTGGTTCTTTTTCCTTCCATTTTTTTTTTTTTTCTTAGTATTAAAGTTATCTGTTGTCTTCTGGTTGTGTGACTCATGTAAAGTTGCATGGTGAAGAAAAGAGCTAAAGATGTGGGTAGAAAACTTGCTTGTTTCGGTGCTCTCCTCGCCTCCTGACACAGAGAAACTCCTGTGTATCTGGGCTGCCTGGTGGCCTAAAAGCAGGGGCCGACCCAGGAACCCCCTGCAGCCTCTTTCAGGAGCTGATCAGAGACTTGCAGAACATGGACTGCCCTCCTCAAGCAGTGGGTCCTGCTGTTTGGTTGTCTCTGGCTGTAGCTGGTTGGTAGGACTGTAGCACCCAGCTGTTCTGAGTGGGTGTCAGCACCATTGCAGTTTGCTCTTTTTTTTTTTTTTTTTTTTTAATCATGTAGGCAATGTGATTGCTGTTAAAAGTGTAATCCTGCATTCCCATCAGCACTTTTGTCCAGCTCTTTAACTGGTGTCTAGCCAGCATGCAGCATTTTGAATTAAATGAGCACGTTAAATGTCCTTTTCTTCCTTCCCAATAAGTTAAAGTTTAAAATGCTGGGGAGATCACTGAACTGATGGTCCTTACTGACAAAACAAGACACAGTGCAGTGCCTGAGAGCACTGCTCAACCTGGCCATCCCTTCCATTCCTGTCAGCCTGCATCCTTCACCAGGCACTTCCAGCTCCTGGATGCACGGTAGGATCCAAGTGCTGTTAGACCCTCCCAGGACAGGTCACCCCTGGGCCATGGGGGTGTTTCAGAAGGGCAGTAAGAGACAATATCCTAATGCATCTGCATAAGGAGGCCTGTTTAAAAATTAGGAAAGTCACTTGAGGCATTTGTGATTTTTCAATCAGAAATCAAATTCTTGATTTTATAGCTTCTCTGCACATTTTGATAACTTTTCATCTTCTTCTCTGTCAGGTTGTTATTTCCCTTTAGCACTTCTTGCTGTTACAGTTATGTTTTGGCTTTGTTCCCCCTCCCTCCCCGCCGCCCCGTCCTTTCAGAGAGCCTCCCTCCCGAAATTCCTCATCAGGGGCCACCTCAGTTCTACCAACTGTGTCATCACGCAGCCGCTGACGGGAGAGCTGGTGGTGGAGAGCGCAGAAGCTGCCGTCAAAAGCGTGGAGCTGCAGTTAGTGCGCGTGGAAACCTGCGGTGAGCTCTGCTGCCCGGGCAGCGGCACAGGCTGCAGGGCTTCACGGGCTCCCGCTCAGCCGAAGCATGCTGGCCTGTCCGCACGACTCCAAAGACTTGTTTTGGGGGGGAAATAAAAGCTTTGCACCTCACAGAGAACAGGCAAAGCACACATTAATGTAAACAATCTCCACACGCCTAAACTCACCTGCAAAGGTACATCAAAGGGCAGAATGTTTTGGGGTTATTCCCAGGTAAATGTTTGTGTGTTTGAGTTTTGGCTACTGCTTTGCCTTTTCTCTTTGCTTCCCTCTGCTTTTCCTCTGAATCTCTGTCTTTCCCCAGGCTGTGCAGAGGGTTATGCCAGGGACGCCACAGAGATTCAGAATATCCAGATTGCGGATGGGGACGTGTGCAGGGGGCTTCCCATTCCCATATACATGGTGTTTCCCAGGCTCTTCACCTGCCCTACGCTGGAAACGACCAACTTCAAAGTCGGTGAGTGACAGGGGGCTGGGCTGGGCTGGCACCTGCTCTCCACACAAGCCTCAAGTGTCACTTGAGCTTCTGGCTGAATAGGTAATGCAGAAAATCACTGTCAACTGAGCAAGAAAAACTGAGGAAATGGGTTTTCCTGTAGAGCTTCCTTGAACGGTATCATAGTGGTGCTGTATTTCTGATAGATAGAGAAAATGGCATTTAATACTCTTAACTAAAACAGTTATGAAACTGTTTAGTTAGGAATAATAGAATTATATGATAGGTAGACTAGACTAGTGGTGTAGGGGCAAGTTTTATATATTTATATATGTGTGTGTGTGTGTGTGTATATATATATATTTTTTTTTGGGCGTGTAGGAAGAAGAGTGCAATTACAAGCTGAAAGCATTTGCCTAGTAGCCCAAGAAGAAAATGCCAAGCTGATCACTTCCTCCTTTTTATCCCTTTTTCTATTCCTCCTCCTTCCTGTTTCCTATTCTCCTGCTGCACAGACTTGGAAGTACAACTGTTAACAAAGCTTTAATTCTTGATCTTCACAGGCCATGTTTTCCTGATTATTTTTGCCCAAATCCAGCATTTTCATTAACAGGCACTTAAAATCTAGGTCCCTGTTTTCCTGTCCCAAATACAGATTTCTATTCTTCTACTTTGCAAGTCAGATATTCTCATTTGTGCAGAAATGCTCTATGATCCCCCATGATAGCCTGTTGTTCTGCCCTTCCTTCTTATGGATTTTTTGGATGTTTCCAACTAGGCTGGGCTCGAGCTCTGAGCCTGTCCTGCCAGGACCGTGCGCAGCTGGAGCGCCTCCCATTTTGTGCTGCGTATCTCTGGGCAATTGCAGGCAAACTTTGCAGCTTTGAGTGCCCGTTTCCTCAAAAACATCTTTGCACCTGATCTATACTGTGATTTTTTTTTTTCACTGAAATAATCAATAGGTTTCTATTCTACATTTAGCACTTCTAGCTATTACATAGTAATTTGTAGTGACAAATTGCGACTTTAATATGTAAGAACAGCCTTTATATCTTGTTATGAAGATGCTGAAAAAAGGATAACTACTTATTAGAATGTTCATGAAGCTGCCGGCACAGCTTTAAACCTTGGGAAGAATAAAAGAAAGCATAGCTACTGAAATTATCTTGTGAAGCTGAGGTAAACACCCAAAAAAAAAGGCGAGGGGGAAAGAAAATACACATTCATCTTTGCTTCATGCAAAGCTGATGGGTGTGAGACTCTCAACAGCTAGGGCATGAGTGTGCCTTTACGTGTTAAACCTCAGCGTACACAGCAAATTAAGCGAGGAGTGCCGGGTTAGCAACCCAGTGCCACTGCCAGCCGCTTTCCTTGCTTTTTGGCTTGCTTACAGGAAGAAGTCAGAAGCTCACTGTTTCTGTGACAACACAGGGTTAGGTGACCTGGATATGTCCTTCGGAGCAGCTCCTGAGGAATAAATAGGCTGTTTGTAAACAGGCCGGCAAAGTCCTCTCTCCCAAGAGTTGGAGTTCAGCAAGCGTGAGGCGGCGGGGCATGGAGTCGGAGGGGAAAGGTGCTAAGCCATACTGGGCCTGTTCTGGAGAGCCCCTGGCTGCCGTTCAGACTGAGGTCTTGGAAAGGCTCCACCGGCAGGCTTCCTGCCAGGGGATTTGTTACTGGGAGAGCTAGGCTTAGGCAGGATTTTATTACAAAAATTGTCTTGATTCTTTTTTGCTGTCTTATTAAAATCTAGCCCACCCTTCCTTTCCACCCCAGAAGGACGAATATTTTGTATCCATCTTAGCAAAACACGCAAATTAATTTCCCATGGATAATATATGCTGAGTGATTTGCTTTTCAGAGTCAGAAGATCAAAATGATGAATTTATTATGCAAAGTAATAATTGCAAATTATATTGGCAAACTTCATTCCAGAAAAAAAATAGGATATTAATATAACTAAAAGGATTAAAAAATACTGGCTGTTAACTTGGGGCTACTGCAGATATTTTAGGAGGTTATATATCTCTGTTCCACCTAAACCATCAGAGGCAGTAGCTTTCATTTTAAAGGTCTCGTGAGATGCCATAATTAATGGGCCCACCTAGTAGCATATGTCGCACTTGTGTTGAGTAGTAGGACCTGACACATATCACAAAAGCAAGCATAGGCAGAGCTTAGCCTTGTAAAAATTTGCATTTCCTTCTAGCTTAACTTTGAGTGCAAAGTACTGAAATATAGGAGAATCAAAACACAACAGAAATTCACTCTGTTTTTTAGGTCAAATTAGCTCGGCCTTCTACTGGGATGAGTGTGGGAGACACAAATAGCATTTTTTTGGACTTTCTGGCTCATTATAGGATCTTCAAAATGGCATTAACAAACCCTTGGATCTATATA